TATATATATATATATGCATACATCGACACATTTTTAAAATAACTTGGTCAACTTCAAGGTTTAAAAACATATTCCAGAAGTGCTTGATGATGCACGGGTTGTCTATGTGGAGTTGACACTGTTGTGTAGTACACGAAGCAGAAGTTTAAGTTGAGTGAGAGACAGACAGGCTTGTGGTGCAACGTGACATCAGACATCAGCTCTTCAAGCACGCCACACAGCTCAGTACTCACGCGTGTCCAAATGCAGGTTGGCGACCCTTCCGCATGTCCTCCGAGTCTGGCCGCTGCGCCTTTGGGCCAGTAATCTCACTAATCTGGTCAGGCAGAAAAAAAAACAAAAGTGGAAAGTCACACACTGAATTCCATTTAAAAAAAATCTTTTTTTTTTTTTTTTTTAAATTTGAGTCATTATTCGTAAAGTGGCAGACTTTTACTTTCAACCCGTCCATTTCCAAACGTACTCGCAATGCATCTGTTTGGGCATACATGGCAATGGCGAGTGATGAAAAAAGCGGAAGGGGCGTGGCCTGGACGGGGGCGTGGCCTGGACGGGGCGTGGTTACTTACAAAAGTGGCACTAAACATGCTGAAGATGAAGTGTATTAAATTTACACAGTTTGAAAATTGAACAGAAAAAAATCCCAAGATCGCCACTATTCTTTCAAGTGAAAATTTGTGCAATTTTGCCTATGCATTCCTGGTGAGCAAAAATATGTAACTCAAAATTTGCTGCTCAAAATCAAAACAAAAAAAGTAAACACATCCCCTGCCATATTTAAGATTTGTTCATGACTTGTATTCATAAAGTGTTGTGTAAATGTGATAAAAAGCTGTTGATTCTTACCTCATACAGTGATAGTGAATATTTATTATGCATACAATTTACTATGCATAACCGTGCTTTATTATCCAAGACAAAACGTGAATTATCAATATGAATATAAAACGCAAATAAAAACAAATAAATGTTATCATGCTGTTGCTACAAATGCATACCAAATAAAATTGAAAATATCATCCTCGTATATTTGAATAAAAAAGTATATACCTCGGAGTGCACCTGTCTATCGGCGAGGGGCGTCAGTGGAGCAGATTTCGTTGCTTGGTTCAGCCAAAGTAAGTACCCCAGCGCGTAACGTCTTTAGTTGTATCCGCTGACGAAGTTTGTTTGAAAAATGCCGATCCCAAAGAATAATTGCTCCGTCGAATGGCGATTTTGTCGGCATGTTTTTTCGCTTTTGTTGCATGATCTGTCAGTGCCACGCATCCACGG